TAGTTAAAATGTAACTATTTCATAAACAATATTCTGTTATTCAAAAACAATAATTCACTATTGTAAAAAAAAAAAAAAAACTATTTTATATACATTATTATATAGAAACAATATTTCTCTATTCTAAAACTGAAATTAAAATATTTCAAAAACAACTTTTAACTGCACTATAACAGAAATTTCTATAACATCATTTCTTTTTAACCCTAAAACACAACGCAATGCAATACATAATTCAAATTACCAGTAAGCACCTTTGAAAAATATTTAAAATTCCTTCATACTGCATTAACATACTAGATTGGGCTACTATGTTAGATTTTAACTTTCAGGAAAAACCTTACTATTCTAAAATTAAAAATGTAACTATTTCAAAAATTATTCTAAAATTCAAATGTATAATATTTCAAAAATAATAATTCACTATTCTAAAATTTAAATTCAAACTAACCCAAACTGTTTCAGACTTCACTCTGTCGACTCTTTCTAACAGTTTTCACAATATTCATGTGTGCCTGTCTAATTGGACACCTGCACCTTCTGATGAAACCTATACGTGGACATACTTCACAGGCTTGTCAAATAACACCCTTGATGACCCTTGGGAGTGAACGGTAACCGGACTGCAGTGTTGCGAGTGAGTTGAGTGCAGTTGCAGGCATGTGTGCTCATTGTAAAGCCGATTCCATTGTAAGGAACGGCCAGCATCAGCAAATACTCCAGGCTTTGTCCTGCCCTATATACAGAGAAGTAGACTCACACACAGACGCTTTTCCCGCTGCAGCTGGACAAATTTGTTGTGGGTTGGATTTTCATGCAGGGGTTTAGAATCTCGTTTGATGGAGCCGAAAGCCTCTCATAAACGGCGGTTTCTCGTGCTGCATCCAGCCACATCCTAGGTTTGTGTGTGTGTTTGTGGATAGATATGCACATGCATCTGTGCATTTGTTTGCAGCTCATCTGAATTAGTGCAGAGTCATATTATGCACGCTATTTGATCCATAACGTAACAAACAGCATGACGAAATTCGAAATATAAAACAATATTGAAATGGGAAGTCCAGTAATCATTTACTCACATGTGCACTTCCTTGAAATTCTGTCCTTCACTTAATTGGACAATCATGGAGAACTAACCAAGCAGTATATTTTTATACCTAGCCATATGTTTCATATTTACAGTCACGAACCACAGGAGGGGAAATCAGGCCCTCTTGAAACCTCTGCTTCCTGTCAGCTGTATTAAGTGGTGCTTGCTGTAGCAAATATCATTGTTCATATAGGATCTTATGTATGAAAAAAGAGTGATATTTCTTCTATTGTGTCACCTTGTTGGTAGCCAGCCACCCTGAAGCTGTAAATGTGCCGTAATAAATGTAAATCACAGACACCATTAAGAGGGTGTTTACTGTAAACAAACGTTTAGCTTTGTCTACTGGAATTTATGATGCCAGTGTTCGTGTCTGAGTCAGTCCCATATGCTTTACTCTTACCACACTGTGGTATTATAAACAGCCTGTATTCATGAACACTGGAACCACCCTCATCTGTAAATGTCTCGAAATAAATAAATATTTGTCTCGAAGCAAATAAAGCCCTGTACATGATAGAAGCAGAAAGCATGGGCTTATCTAGAAACTGGCCCCGTGGGCAGAAAAGCGCTTCTAAACATTCTGGATGGAGACTTTTAGTCGCTTAAAGGAATAGTCTGCGTTTAGTGCAAGTTAAACTCCATCGACTGCATTTGTGGTGTATTGATTACCAAAAAAAAAAAAAAACACTCCTCAATAGCAAAAATATGATGAGGCACTTACAGTAAAAGTAAATGAGGCCAATTTTTGCAGCAATGTGAAACTTATACTTTTATCAAAGCACAAAACTTGTGTATTATTTATTGTTTATTGTGTTGTTTAAATCATTTTTATAGTCGTTTAAGGGAAACGAGGAAACGAAACATTACAATCGGATACAACTTTACATAGAAATCTGAATTCGCATATTGTTTACGTCTTGTAGCTGTGGTATTGAAACTAGTTATGATTCCATCCAAAGTTGCGAATTTTACTTATGTGCAAAAATTAGAATATCCCATAAAACATTTGCAAATAAAGCACTGTTTACATGTGTTCAAGAGAATAAAATCGTCACTTCTTCGGAAACTGGCGCAAAGTGTCAAAATCTTCATTTTTTTTGTACATAATGAATGCACCACAGAGCACACAGACGAACGCTGTCATGTTATCTTGCATTCGAATGCCTGATGTTTGGGAAGGCAATCGTGTGAGACAATTATGGGAGGGGATTATACCAAATCATTTTGATGATGGACTTTGGCTCTGGCATTTCAAAATAATATAACATAAAATAACATTGTAGATGGTGTGCGATAAGATCGGTCGTTCAATCACAGGATCTGTTGAGGCAAAGTTACATGAGTTTTTTGATGCACATTGAGGAATTTATTCAATTTCCATCGTAGTGTGTTAGCATGTCTTATTATAAAATTATAAGATTCAATTTAGCACATAAGTTTTTTATGCACATTTTTAGAATTTATTGCTACACATCATATAGAACATACTTTTTTTGCGGTTAAGTTCTTCATCAAATATACAGTAGCATCTACCAAATAGTAGTATGCGATTTTGGATGCAGCAAGTTTTAATGGTTAGGAATTGGCCCCATTCACTTCCATTGTAACATTCTTACTATAACTAACGTTTTTTAGGGAAAGGAGAGAAATAAAATTTAAATTTACATTTTGTGTAGCCACAAATCCTAATGATTGAGGTTAACTTGTTCTAAACCTGGAATATTCCTTTAAAGTTCACAGATGGGATAGGGATCCGTCTTTCCAATGAAGAGCCTTCCATAAATCAGAAACAGGACTCACAATATTGCTTTATTTTTGCTTCTCTGGTAGGGTTCCTTGCTTGTTTCCTTTTCCTTGGCAGGACACTCGCCCCTGAAGGCCAAAGCAAAGCTTTATCCAGGACTACAAAGAACCAGTGGGAAACTTAACTGCACGAGTCTCCCCTTCCTTGATCGCTCTGTTTTTCCTGATCCTTCCATATGGACAGGAAGTCACTACTGGAGACAACTCAACTAAATCAACCAATGATGGCTCAGCAAAAAACAAATTTAGAGAAGAAAAGTGTAGGATGAAGCCATGACCGTCTCATAAACAAAACTCACTATGACTCACTAAGGCCAAAACATCTCAACAAGACTGGAAATATGAAGAGCTGAAGGAACCGAGTAGATAATTTCATGTTACGTAACTGTAACAGTTCTTTATCTGCCATAAATCATTGCTTTAATAAAGCTACCCTGGTCTTACGCAATCGTTTAATTAGGCAGACGGTCAGATTAAAGTGTAGAACACGCTGCATCGCTTTGAGAACTGACTCATTCCAGTCAGATTATACTGGGAAAGGCCTGTGAACTCATCAACACCAAACCACCAGGTTGTTCTAGAAATCTGCATTGTGGACGTGAGAGGAGATGTTTACAGAGGAAGTGACTGTCCTAAGCTTGTGCAACCTCTGTTATCAAAGACAACACCTTGGAGACAATAAGACACAGTTCTAGTCACCAGTCATTGTCGTTCTCGTGATTTCTGTTCAAATGTAATTCAGTGGAAAGTGACGTTTATAAATAATGTTGTTTGGATTTAGTCATAAAGTGTTTCACAATCACACAACAGAATCTCATGCTAATTCTCACATTTGTTTTTTCTCCCTATAGCGCGTAAACTTTAGAATTAGTTTGTTTGGAATCGTTTTAAAGGTTACATTGGGGTTGTGGATCATAATGGCGCCTTTGTTTTTCTGATCTCTCCAGTGACTGCAGTTTCGAAAGTGGTAAATACGGCAAATGAACAACTGTTTTTGTGTAGAACAAGTCTTTATAAAGTTTATTTTGCATCTGAACCTGGAAAAAATGGCAAGATGTCACTCCATGGACAACGCCCATGTTTAAATTTAAATTTGGTTTAATTATATGTCCACAGAAGACCATTTCTTGCATTGATTGTCAAAGACTTAGACTTGTTTTGGAGTAAAGGTGCAGCCACATTGCGAAATTTCACAAAGATTATCAAAAAGGATGTATGAAACACGTCACGTGTTAACAAGGTGATTGAAATTAGCGTTGGGGAAAGCTACTTTTAAAGGTAATGCATTGCAATACTACATTACTCCTTAAAGGCATAGTTCACCCAAAAATGAAAATTCTGTCATTATTTACTCACCCTCATGTCGTTCCAAATCCGTAAGACCTTCGTTCATCTTCGGAAGACAAATTAAGATATTTTTGATGGAATCTGAGAGTTCTCTGATCCTCCCATAGACAGCAAGGATCCTAACACGATCAAGGCTCAGAAACGTAGCAAGGACATCGTTAAAATAATCCATGTGACATCAGTGGTTCAACCGTAATTTTACGAAGCTACGAGAATACTTTTTGTGCGTCGAGAAAACAAAAATAAAATAACTTTAAAATAATTAAAAATAACTAATTGCGTTACTTACTCTTTACGAAAAGTAATGCATTACATTACTTTTGTGTTTTGTTTGTCACCTGGGTCGGGCTTGTTTATTTATGTTTAATAACAAAAAACCCAAAAGTTTTTTTGGAAACAATAAAGACCCTTTCACACCAAAAAGTGAAATGAATAAGCCTCAGACTGAAGGAAGAGGTTCTGCACGTCACTCCCAATTTTTCTCAACACGGGAACAGGAGAGATATCAGTGAATAAATGGGAAAAAAGTAACTTGCAATGCTTTCTTGAAAAAGTAACTCCGATATAATTTTGTTGTAAATTTAAAAGTAATGCATTACTTTTCCAGTTACTTGAAAAAAGTAATCTGATTACGTAACTTGCGTTACTTGTAATACATTTCCCCAAAATTTCGCCAAGCAATTGTAAATGTGACCACAACGGTAAAAGTGTAATTTTTACGTCTCGTCTTGACTAGTTTCCTGTCTTTATATTTTAGGTGTTCTGTCACTTCCGGCTCATTTCAGTCCATACACGGAGGGACGTCAGACGGGGTTGGAGAGCAGAGAGGATGCGTATGCTGAACTGGAGCTGCGAACACTCGAACAGGCCTTACTGGCTACATGTGTGGGCAGCATCTCCGAACTAAGTGAGTGTCTGACTTCCTTCCTGTCTGTCTGTTATGTCTGATATTCTTTGTTTTGTCTGTTTCTCTCTCCTGTCCATTATGAATCATACTGAATCATTTACAACTCAGAAAGGTCACATTTAAGCTACAGCTTATGAGAAGGTTGGACACGGTGGAATTTTTCAGAATGACGCTTATTGCAAATGTCACATCCTGAATATTAAATGCAATTTTAATTTGCTTTTTATATTTGTAACTTTGCTTTTTGTATTTTGTTTAAAACTTTATATTGCTAAGTTATAGATTCAGTGTTAATATTGAAAATAATAGTGCATCAAATAATAGGGCAATATGTAAATATACAAAATAAAAGTATTTATTTTATTTAAATTTGCGTATTAGCATATTTCATATACTTTTTATATGCATATTATTTTGCATATATTTTTTCAAAGTATAAGCAACATAAAATAATGAAATTACATTATTTTAAATTTCATATATATATATATATTTTATTTTGTATTTTTATTATATATACTTTGATACAAAAAATGTGTACTCAACAGAGTCAAGATTGCAGCAAGTTTCATACAGAGACACAATTGCTTGTTGTTATCCCTGCAAACACAACATGGAAAAGGAGATAATGTGGACGCTGTTTATCTTTCCGGACTGATTAGCCTATTATTTTATGCTCTGAATAAACACCACTATGTTGTTCCCAAAGAGGAGGCATGTTTGCTTTCTAAACAGAATGTTTAGTGATGGAAAGACACAAAACGAGTGTGAAAGTCAACTAAAAGTCTTCTGGTGCCTTAAGTGCCTCTTGTCTGGTATTCTAGATAATTCCTGCAGGATGTTATGGTGTTATTAGACACACTCCTATCAGGATTGAAGGAAGATGAACTGCTGTACCAGTGTCTCCTCTGACTTCATGATGCCTGACTCATCTGCACTCAAATGAAGCATGTCTGTCTCAACACGTTTCCCTTGATAAAAGCAACATCTGGTCTGGGATTTATTGTCTGGACTGGATTTTATACAAGTGGAAAGCTGAACAAATGCAATTTAGCTGAACTTTAAAGTGTAAATACAAAGATTACAGTGCCTTATTCAGCAATAGTCTGTCGGTTCATTGTACAGTGTTTTGGTTCCCTCCTCACAGGAGTTTACATTTGAAAATGGGATATTTCCCTTGCAGTGAAGGAGTTCCCTTGTTGGCATGGGTTGCCATACTCTGAGCTGTTTTACCTGTGTTTACCCACCATGCCACAAGCCCAGCGGTGGCATGGTTGGCGGCTTACCGATGGAAGGCACGAATTTCCTACTGCAAAAACCGAACACTTTGCTGCTTGTCTCCCACAGCACAAGGGCATGTTCAGCAGGACATTAGCAATCGCACACAAACTCAGTGAATTCAGTGAGAGCTGTCTTTGTGCACTGCCTGTGATGTTGGCGCCTCCCCATGAGCTCTCATGTAGGTTTGATCCAGCTGTACCCAGGAGACCGATGGACAGTGGGGCATCTGTACGTCCTCAACTGCCCTGGAACGCTAGATGCAAATGGGCATCTACACAACCTAAAATGTGTGATTTGGCATGTGAAAAATTTGCTCTGTTGTTGGTAGCTCTTTCAGTCTGAATTTAGAGGAATGGTTGAAAAAGAAAAGTCTGTTATACTTCAAGCAAAATCCAACAACAATATATGAACAATATCAGGCCAAAATGAAGCTTGTTTGGAGCTTGTTTCAGGAATTTGAAATAGCCTGAGAAAGCAAACGTCATGGAAAAGTTTGCTCAAGCTGGTAAACACCTTTGAACTATCACTGGTCTATAGTGATTACGTAATAGGCAAGCAAAATTGAAGAACAAACTTATGAACCGTGACATCATTTCAAACAAAATTAGGCCAAAACAAAGTTTGTTGTGGGAGTTCAAAACAGCTTGCCAAAGCAAACTTTATGGAAAACATAATTCCAACTGGTAAATACCAACGAACTACCACTGGTCTATGCCGATTACATAATAGGTAAGCAAAATTGAGGTGAAATTCAAAATGAACTGATGTGACGTCATTTTGAACAAAATCAGGTCAAAATGAAGTTTATTTGGAATTTGTTTCAGGAATTTGAAACAGCTTGTGATAGTGAACTTTATGGAAAAGTTTGCTTGAGCTGGTAAACACCTTCGAACTATCACTGGTCTATAGTGATTACGTAATAGGCAAGCAAAATCAAAGAACAAGCTGATGTGAGCTGATCATTTTGAATAAAATTAGTCCAAAAAAAGTTCATATGAACTTCATTGTGGGAGTTCGAAGCAGCTTGCCAAAGCGAACTTTACAGAAAACTTTGTTCCAGCTGATAAACACCTTCGAACTACCACTGGTCTAACTACCACATTTTGAACAAAATTAGGCCAAAATTAAGTTAATTTGAAATCTGTTTCAGGAATTTGAAACAGCCTGCAAAAGTACATTTTATGGAAAAATTTGCTCCAGCTTGAATACACCTTAGAACTATTGTTCCATGGAAATGACATAGCAGGCAGGCGGACTCAAAGCAAAATTCTAACTGAAATTGCAACTAACTTTCATGTTTTCCATGTTTAAAACTGTAAAGCTTGTTTTAAAGTGATCTATTGTATAAAATAAATGACTTGACTTGACTTGACTGGAGTCCTGAATTGCAGAGCTGGTGCAAGCCTATCTTCATCACTATGATGCTTTCTTAACTGCTGCTTTCTCACTCCTGTCAGTTTTGTTGTTTATTTTGTTATCAAGAGGAAAGGACACAGCACCTTTTCTTTACCCTAAGCGAAGAACAAAACAGAACTTCACTTTAAGTATATCGGCCTTTAAATTGCAACAAGTATTACCATGAGCTTTGATGAACTTTATGGAAAAGTTTGCTTGAGCTGGTAAACACCTTCAAACTATCACTGGTCTATAGAGATTACGTAATAGGCAAGCAAAATCAAAGAACAAGCTGATGTGAGCTGATCATTTTGAATAAAATTAGGCCAAAAAAAGTTCATATGAACTTCATTGTGGGAGTTCGAAGCAGCTTGCCAAAGCGAACTTTACAGAAAACTTTGTTCCAGCTGATAAACACCTTCGAACTACCACTGGTCTAACTACCACATTTTGAACAAAATTAGGCCAAAATTAAGTTAATTTGAAATCTGTTTCAGGAATTTGAAACAGCCTGCAAAAGTACATTTTATGGAAAAATTTGCTCCAGCTTGAATACACCTTAGAACTATTGTTCCATGGAAATGACATAGCAGGCAGGCGGACTCAAAGCAAAATTCTAACTGAAATTGCAACTAACTTTCATGTTTTCCATGTTTAAAACTGTAAAGCTTGTTTTAAAGTGATCTATTGTATAAAATAAATGACTTGACTTGACTTGACTGGAGTCCTGAATTGCAGAGCTGGTGCAAGCCTATCTTCATCACTATGATGCTTTCTTAACTGCTGCTTTCTCACTCCTGTCAGTTTTGTTGTTTATTTTGTTATCAAGAGGAAAGGACACAGCACCTTTTCTTTACCCTAAGCGAAGAACAAAACAGAACTTCACTTTAAGTATATCGGCCTTTAAATTGCAACAAGTATTACCATGAGCTTTGAGGATGTTGTATTTAATATCTCCAGTCCAATCGCACTGATCTCAGCCTGCAGGGCAAGCATTAGTAGAAAACTAATAGAAAAGCCCCAAACTTCCTGATTGCTTCATAAATTCTCTAAGACCCTAGGGCCTGGCAGAACACAATAAGGCCCCTATTGCTGCAAGTTTGGCATCTTTCAGATAATAACGGAAGATTCTTCCTACTCACAAACCACTCTGTGGTTTGAAAATGAACCCAAGGGGTGATTTCCACAAATGGAGTGGCCAGCCCACAACTTTGCTTCTCAAGTTAGCGTAGACCAATACATGCATTGAATCTTGATCAGTGTATCCATATGCAGTTTAGTTATTACCTGGACTGTTTCCTGCTACGTGTTGAGAATCCAGGTTTCATTGGATGCCTTGTTGGTACAATCATAAGGATGTTCATATGTTGTGGAACTGTGAGATACATGAGGGAAAGACTTCAGCAGGTGGGTGTTTCATCTCCAAAGCTGCTTAGAGGATGCACGTGTGCTGACTCGCTCACATTAGCTTTCCACATTTGCTATGAATGCCAACTTGTGGTTTTTGGTTTCAGTTAGTGTCCAAGGTCTTGTAAGCTTCCGACTGAGCTCTGGTGATAATTTGAAATCTGGGTCAATGACAAATAAGAAGAAGAAAATATATTTTTTATTTTTTTATTGAGTGTTCGTTTTGTGTTCATGTTGGTTTTGTATGCTTTTGAAAACCTTTTTGTTGAGAATCTTTTTTCTTTTTTTTCCATTTTCAGTTTAAATTGAATAATTTAAAAATTATTTTGTTCTCATTCACTCTTATTATTGTCACAAAAATGTATGTATTTCAAGATAGAAAAAAGTTATGACTTTATTTTTGCATGGTGGTTGCACCACATGACGTGTTTTTCAAATGTTTGTATAATGATGAAAAATTCAATTTCATTTATTTTGCTTTTTTTCTTACATTATGTTATCAGGACAGTTGTACCACCCTGACATTTTTGAACTTATGCTTATTAAAAAAACATTAAAATTGAATCACAGACCATGTGTATTCAAGATATTGTAAGAAAAAAGTACATTTTAATAAATTAAAATAATCTCTGTTAGCCTGATCTGATGCAAATATCTTAAGTTTCTGATTGATTGTTTGTCATCATCAGGTGACCTGGTGTCACGGGCCATGCACCATATGCAGCGCCTCAGTTCTGTCCGTCATGGGCTCAGTCCTGCACGTCATGCCCGCCAGCAGCCCGTCTCCTGGTCTCCGGATGCCCTCCACACTCTCTACTACTTCCTGCGATGCCCTCAGATGGAGTCCATGGAGAACCCCAACCTGGATCCGCCCAGGATGGCCCTGAGCAAAGAAAGGTGAGCCTCATTACTATTCCCCTCCCATTAATCCAGTCTCCAATTCACACAATGAGTGCTAAGCTAATTAACAGCCCAAACCCCTAATGGTCCATTGGTATGTAAGTAAACTCTGGAAATCACACAGCCTGAAGGCACTTTAAAGCTGTTAATGATATACTAGAAATGTGAGGAGCTCCTCAAACTCCTTTTCCAGCTGCTCTTTCCTGGAAGTTCATTGTAACTTGTTCTTAACGAGAGATTGGTTTTAAGAGCGGGTCATTAGGTGTCCTGTCTTGCTTCAAGGATGTCTTCAGGATATTACTTGCTTGCTAAAGGTAAATACGAAGGTTTATATTATGCAGGGTTCAGTTACAGGTGTACTGTAAATATTGGCTCTTGGAAGGATGCCTGTTTGTGGGATACAAAACTAGGTGTAATTATGTTGAAGAAGTTACTTGGCAAGCGGAAGAGGTTTATATTATGCAGGGTTCAGTTACAGGTGTACTGTAAATATTGGCTCTTGGAAGGATGCCTGTTTGTAGGATACAAAACTAGGTGTAATTATGTTGAAGAAGTTACTTGGCAAGCGGAAAGCAACTTTATTTTGAGGCAATCAAACAACAGCAGCTAGCATTTTGAAAAAGTAGTCAGCTATGTTAGCTTCAGGCTACTAACAAAAGCTATGTGTTTCCATTACCAATCAGATTGCACAAATTAAAATTGCGAAGTGAAAATTTGCCCAATGGAAACACGCAAATTTCACAGAAACTCCCATATATGTGATAAGCATAAACCTACCAACATCTGTCAACATGACTTATCGCAAGAGGAAAAAATTAAATTTTAATCTCATAACATTGGTTAATGGAAGCCCTGTGATTTCGCAGTAGTTTTTTATCTACCTTTATAAAATATCGCAAAAGTTTTGCGCAAATCTGTAATGGAAACGCAGTTAGTGAAACCATTTTAAGGGAAAATTCACTACCTCAGCTCACTCAGCAGGACATAAATGGTAACAATGTAGCATTTTGTCTGTTACAGTATGTCCTAGAAAAAAGTAGCTAGTTACTGGAAAAACTACAGTGTAATCATATTGAAAACATCCAAGTGACTGTCATACTACTGATAAATGTAGCATAGGTTCTTAGCTAACATTCTTGTTTGTAAGCTCTTTGAGATGCCTTATCTTGACATGTAATACATTTTGCAGTTTAAATGTAACAAACTATAGAAAAATCAACCCAAAAACAATGCCTACATGATAAATGAGTCACACAGGTACAACAATTTCTGGAAGCTCTTGCTGTGTCCAAAAACAAAGTAAATCCAGACTTTCGTTGATGGGCTCAGATGTTTGTTTCCTCCTTTGATGTGTTGTTGTTGAATGCCAAGCACAATTGTCCACATGTGATTGTGTGTATACGTATGTGTGCAATTATCAGGTTGTATGTTGAGTAAGTAAAAGGCAAATCTTGCTATTGGCTGCAGCTGGTTCACTTGTGTAAGACCTTCAACTAACAAACTTAAGTGGAAAACAACAATGGAGCCTTACTGCCGACTCCAGGACTCCAATCATGAATCTCTCTTAACGATCATGCCAGGAAAGATTTCCAGCAATATTGCTGAGCGCTTGTGTATGTGGTGGAGTAGCAGAATGGGATACAGGTGGTGCTTCAGTCCTGGCTGTAATTACGGTAAAGGCCTCGATCATTATTTAAGGTCTCCTCAACACGCCTTCTATTGAGTCTATAAAAGTCTATAAAACCTTTGCTTGAAATGAAACCACACGTGTACTGTGTGGTCCTAACAGAGGCCTGTAAACGGAAAGGGGGCGTTACGGATCCAGTGAAGTTTGGTTATGTGAGCTAGAGGTTAGTAATAGTAAGTGTTGATTTATGACGGGTATGTGTCTCCAATTGAGTGGGTGGAGAGAGAGGGAGGAAAGGGTCAGAAAGGTGAACGGGAGTGCTGGGTGGTAAGTGGTCGCACATCGAGGAGGCACTGTAAGATGAGAGGGGTGACCTCTCAGGACTATGACCCCAGATCAGGACAGAGTAGACAAGACACATCCATACATACTGCCTAATTGGAGTATAGAATGCTTTCATACTAAGATTAAGTTTCTAAAATGAGGGTCAGAGTAAGTGAACTTGTTTGAACCTCATTTTAGAAACATCCAACTATTTCTAAGAATACATATTTATATGAATGTGTCAGTAAATCAGTATATCAGTAGGTCAGGTCTCTTTGCACACTAAACAAAAACCGTTCACCAATACGTCTAGTATTAAATTAACCATAAAACCTTTTTATTTTTGTTTGGCCATGTTTTATCTCACCTACTGAAACAAGTGAGCCAGACAAAATAAAATCATGCTGTTGGCTGTTTTCTGTTTGACCAAGTTTCTTTTTTATACTCACCTACTGAAAGAAGCCAGAAAATAAATAAATAAACAAACATGCTGTTGGTTGTTTTTCTGGCATGTCTAGTATTACGTTTATTTACTAACATTTTTCAGTTTGATCATTTCTTATCTCACCTACTGAAAAAAGAGAGCCAGACAAACAACCAAAAAAAAAAGCTAAATAATGCTGTTGGCTGTTTTATGTTTGACCATGTTTCTTTTTTATTCTCACCTAGTGAAAGAAGCCAGAAAATAAATAAATAAACAAACATGCTGTTGATTGTTTTTCTGGCATGTCTAGTACTAAGGTTATTTACTAACATTTTTCAGTTTGATTATTTCTTATCTCACCTACTGAAAAAAGAGAGCCAGACAAACAAAACAAAACAAAACAAAACCAAACAAAAGAGCTAAATCATGCTGTTAGCTGTTAGTCTGACACATTTAGTACCAAGTTCTTAACCCCCCCCCCTTCACAGACCGAAAGTGAGCCAAACAAAACCAAATCATGCAAACAAAGAAAACAAAATCATGCTGTTGTCCTCAGTTACCTGTCAAACAAATATTCATCACATATATATATATATATATATATATATATATACACTATATTGATATACACATATCCTTCATTAGAAAATCATCACAAACTTATCGTTGCATACTGAAAGGAGTTATGAGTAATATATCTACTCATAATATCTACCGCCAAGCCGTATGGTGATAGTTATTAAACAATAATTAAATGCAGCCATTTTGAATGAGCTGTAGAGCACTAATTAAACTATAACACAGTGTTATTTCTATAATTGAGGACTCGTCTGTGGGAAACACATTTAAAAGTCACTATCAACTGATGTATAGAAAGACCTTTTTCAAAATCTCAATGGTGGGCTGTAGTACACTGTTTACACATGATTTTTAAATGGAAACAAATATACAAAATAACTCTCCCATTTAAAGTAATGCTGGGATTTATCATCATCCGCCGCCAAACCGCGAGAAATTCCTGGCTTGAAAACCACAGCGTTTAATATGCAGCGGCCATAGAGTCGCCTGCCAGACGCTAGTGTTTGTATATGACTCAGAGACATGCTTCAGCATTATATATGTTTATAGCGAGGGAAGCAGCCGTGTGGTCTCAGTAGTGAACTCTTAATCATGTTACACATCTCTGGTGTAATCTAGTCACGTTAGAAGCCTTAACACGTGTGTAAATGTCTGTGCTAGTCCGCCAAATTAGCCCAAAGCGCTATACGGTTTCCACAAGCCCTGATTAGCCATGCTTTGATGTAGGCTGCAACTGAGCTCAGATTTCGGGTCGAAGGCCACGGGTTGAACTTGAGCCCTTGATTCAGAAGCGCGGGTCATTGTTGAAGCCTGACCCAAGGGCCAAACAAACACTAGCGTGGCACTCTGACAACAGAACAAAGGCGAGGTTGTAAAAATGTTGAAGAGCTTAAATTTCATGCTGGTTTTGTTTTTCATTCATAAAAGAGCAGGTCAGAGGAGTGGACTACGCATCAGGAGTTTACATTTGTGTGTGTCCCTAAACGTGTGGCCGGTACATGTAACCTAGCGTGCTAACAGAGCTATTGCCGTGGCTTTTTTGTTTTTGTTCAAAAAGATGTAAGGGATCAATAATTCCATTTAGGAATGTAAAAGAGCTGACAGGCATAGTATCAAGTGTGTTTTCATATTTGAGTGTTGTGCATATTATTGCTTTTAAGTGATGCTGTTATTTGCTGCTGCCAGAAGCACCAGGCACATTCAGACTGATGGTTCCCCTCAGGTTTCTGAGAAGTGGTTTAAAAAAAAAAAGAATCTTTGATAGATTATCTTTTCATTTTTAGAGTTTTCCAAGCATCTGCTCACAGCCAAACTGGAGAGGCAAGCTCAAATACAACACTCAAAGGTGAGGGGAGCACTGCCCGAGACAGCAATTACCCAGGAAGGTTCTCGTAATGCCACCTATACCTCCCGCTCGATGCCTCAGCAAGAGGGGATATCCTGGTGATCGGGAAATGTGTGCTCCCGGCGCTTATTTATACTATAGTCGCACCGGTAGTGACGTCATGGCTGTCGCCGGCCAACGAGTTGGTGTTTTTTCAATGTATGCTTCAGACACGGGTCACGACGAGGCGTCCCCCCCATAGCAACCCCTAGAGGACGCAGTTCGAAGTTCCCATGAAAGGGAACCAATGCTTTTGGTGGCTGCTTACTATCTTTAATGATGCTTTTTATTTTTGAAAACTTGGTGCCCTGCAATACTATCATTAATAAAAATATATATATCTTAAATTTAAAAAATATATTTTGGAAAACAATCTTGTGCCCCATTATAACAACAAATAAAATAAAATAAACAATTTTTTTCAACCTCATGATGCCCCATAATGGGTGGGTGGGGTATATCCAATGCCTATTCATATAGTTATATGAAGTGTATGGAAAATCCCCATAAACTTTTCCCATCTCAGACTCATTTAGTTAGTGTACTGACTGATATCTTTTTCCACACAAACACACACTTACAGATATACAATCAAATCCTTGTATGCTCTCACAGATATCAGCTCCCCCAATACCATCCACCCCCTCTTCTGTGTGACCAAAGTAAACACACTTAGCAGGCTGCAATCTATTAGTCTTGACAGTGGTTTTAAAGGCCTTAGCACTTGGAAAATTCCCTTGATCAATACAGTAAGCAACTAAAAGTGCTCCTCTAAACTATTTTAGTGAAAGTCTGTGGTTATTAAGTGTGTTTCTTTATGCCTCTTCTCTCACTTTCCCATGAAGATCTTTCCTTACACTTGGATTAAGGTTGAGCTGTTTTACAACCACAAGTCAAACAAATGTTACTAAACCTCATCTGTTTTCCCGACTGTAGGCGTTCTTGCTTGCAAATACGCCACTCTTTTAGTTTTATATTTGGTTTTGTTCAGACAGACAGATATAATCAGGTTTTTTTGGCATAACCTACACAAATTGGTTGTTTGTAGTGCAAAAAAGCATAACCCCCCCCCCCACCCCCCATACATTTTACATGAAAATACTAAAGTTACTGTAGGGTAACTTTTCTCAGTTTACCTGAATTTACCCTATTTCAATTGTTTCAAGTTTTCACATTATTTCTGTTACTTGCCAATTTTTTGCAATTGTTTGTGAAATTTTACTAGCAATTTCTGAGTGAAGCACAAAATTCTACATCGTATTTTGAGCAAAATGCCTAATTCCACACCAGTATATTAGTGAAACACCAAATTCTACACCAATTTATTTTTTGTGAAATACCACATTTTGAGTGAAACACCAAATTATTCACCAAATTTTAAGTGAAATACCAAATTCAACACCAATTTTTTTTTAGTGATCCACCAATTTTTTTGAGTGAAACACCATTTTTTTTGTGAGAAAATTCTTCACCAAAATTTGACAGAAATACCAAATTCAACACCAATTTTTAGTGAACCACCAAATTTCTTGAGTGAAACCAAATTCTACACCATTTTTAATGAAGCACCACGTTTTGAATGAAACACCAGATTCGACAGAAATACCAAATTCAACACACATTTTTAGTGAACCACCAAATCTCTTGAGTGAAACTTTTAAATGGAACACCAAATTCTACAACAATTTTTGAGTGAAATACCAAACTCAACACCAAATTTTTCAAGTGAACCACCAAATTCTGTTTTTCCAGTGTACTCAAGGGCAATAGAGTTTCCATCAAATGTTTACCCCATTTTGCAAGATGTTATTTTTCAATTTTTCAACAATACGAAGGTCTTCTAAAACTATTACCCTGTAGAAGACAATGCTACCTTACGCTATTGTCTGATATTGCACCCCTTGTGGCAGCACTGAGAGTACAACGCAAACCGAACAAACTGATCACTGGCAAAACACCTGCAAACAAAACATGATTTGATGCGCTTTTCATATCCTCCCTCAAGATTTAAATATAGCTTTTCTAAATTTAGCTTTGCCTTCAGACGTTTCACACTTGAAAGCTGACTTCAGAATTTTAATAGTCTTTTCTTTTGAACCAAAGTGGCTCCCATCAAGTTGTCATCTGCAAAGTTGATCTGTTTGTTGTGGTTGAGCGCGTCTGTAGGTCTCAGGAGATGTGTTTCTCTGTTGTGCATATCTTGTGTGTTTAATGAGCTTCACGCTCCTCTCTGTACGTCTCATTTGCATGTCTTGCTGGGCTGACAGACTCTCGGCGGGACTACTTCGGTTTGTTGTTTGACGTCATTGTGTTCCTGCTGTGCATCGAGCGCTCTGGGGGCCGACTTTCACATTGGTATCTTCTCTAAATCCGATGTGAAGCTCACTTTCTCTGAGGGGTTGGAAGGCTGGGGAGACGTTACGAAAAATCTGCAGCATTAGCTGCGGGTATCCTCATCTTCTTATCAGGGATTTACTTAGAAAAAGATTAGATTTGGATTTGGGAAGGGGATGTTGGACCTGTATCAGTGTCTGGTGATGATACTTCATGGTTCAGGCTGATTGGATGCTAAATACAACTGATGGGGGTGCAGCTGAACAGTTATAATATGCACCCATTTTTGGTACAAATTGCCTTTAATGGTGTCAGTAAAGAAGATCTATATTATCTAAAGAAATCTATTTGTAAGCATTCCCATTCATGCCACAGGGCCATCAGAAGTATGCAACTATCTCAGTGTAGTCGAGATATCAACCAGCAGGGGTGAACTGCTTACATTTAGGGTATTTTCACTTCAGTCCTATTTTAAATAACCAAACAACATCTCTTTTTTTCATTCACACTGTTACTTTTCATAGCCAGAAACGCTTAAACATTGTATGATAATTATTATTAATAAATTTAATATTAGTATATTACGCTACACTATTTATTTACTTACTTACTTACAAGGATGGCCAAGATGGTCAGACAAACCTGAAAGACTTGAATATCTTATGCTGATAATGATGATGAAATTCATTTTATCAATAACGATAAAAATGAGAAGAATAAGCATTAGTGCTGTCAAACGATTAATCGCATCCAAAATAAAAGTTTTTGTTTGCATAATATATGTATGTGTACTGTGTATTTATTATGTATATATAAATACAGACACATACAGTATATATTTTGAAAATATTTACATGCATTTACATGTCTATATTTATATTCATATAATAAATATATTTAATATATAAACATAACATATTTTTCTGAAATACATACATGCATGTGTGTGTATTTATATATACATACCGGTAATAAATATACACAGTACACACATATATTATGTAAACAAAAACTTTTATTTTGGATGCGATTAATCACGATTAATCATTTGACAGCACTAATAAGCATGAATTGAATTTTAGTCTATTACACATGATTTTTATTTATTCTCCATTTTTGAAGGATGGCCAAAAAATGTTTTAATAGCTGAAACACTTAAATATTGGAATAAGGAAGAAGAATAAGCAGGATATTACCAAAACACTAATAATTATTTTTTTTAAATAAATGAAATATTAGTGTATTATTATATACTATTTTAGGTTTTTTAAATAAATTCTTGTGTGGATGATAATTGTTAAAATAATAATAATAATAATCATAATAATATTAGAATATTATTATACAATGTTTATTCATTCATCTCTTCATTTTTGAAGGACCAAGACACTTTTATTAAATCCTGCAGCCTTTCTTTTTGGATAAAACTTTTAGTTTCTGTGTACTTCACAATAGTTTACAATATACTGGCTTTGAAAGCCACATTTGGTAAAGTTTATTCAATTTGAGTCGAACTATGACACAGAACCCACTTTAAGTAAACGTATTTTCTCTTACATAAAGTGAAAGTATTCACTTTATGTAAGTGTATTTTCTCTATGCTTTTTCACCTCTGCTTCACCTTTCAGAAGCTGAAACTTGTTAAAACTCTGAATTATTATTGCGTAATATAGTCCTCCAGTAAACAGCCCCTATCTATTCTCATATCAAGAAGCTTGCACACATACAAGCACATTAATGTCTGCAGGGAGTGTGCGTGCGCTGCTGAAAACAGGACGACTTCAGCAGCTGTACCTCATTCTCAGCGTGAATTCTCTGATATGACAGGCTGCTGAAAGATACGGGCCGTCTCAGTGAAAGCTGCGCTTTCTTATTGCACAAGCCCTGCTTTACAAACACTAGCAGATTTAGTGCGGTGTGGCCCAACTTGTTTTACACAACTGTGGATCTCAGCAGACTTGTTACACACCCACCCCCACACACACACACACAAATAAACACACACACACACACACTCTCACTCACTATAGACAGTCTATAATTATCCATACATAAAAAAACAATAGTAGTTTATAGTCAGTTTTTAGCTCAGTTTTGGGAACAAACCTGGAATCTGAAAGCCATTTTTTTTTACATCTTGAATAATAAACACAAATAAATTTCAAATCTGAAAACAATTCATGGCTGTCAGTATCATCAAGAGAGTACAATGAACCATTGCACCGGCAGCCATATCACCCTGTAGCCCAAGACTGGTTGCCCACTGAAGCTAAGCAGGGTTGAGCTGGTCAGTACCTGGATGGGAGACCTCCTGGGAAAACTAGGTTGCTGCTGGAAGAGGTGTTAGTGAGGCCAGCAGGGGGTGCTCACCCTGTGGTCTGTGTGGGTCCTAACGCCCCAGTGTAGTGACGGGGACACTATACTGTCAACAAGCACCGTCCTTCGGATGAGACATTAAACCGAGGTCCTGACTCTCTGTGGTCATTAAAAATCCCAGGATGTCTTTTGAAAAGAGTAGAGGTGTGACCTCGGCATCCTGGCCAAATTCGCCCATTGGCCTCTGATCATCATGGCCTCCGAACCATCCCCATATCTACTGATTGGCTTTATCACTCTGTCTCCTCTCCACCAATAAGCTGGTGTGTGGTGGGCGTTCTGGCGCACTATGGCTGCCGTCGCATCATCCAGGTGGATGCTGCACACTGGTGGTGGATGAGGAGATACCCCCTGACAATGTAAAGCGCTTTGAGTGCCTAGAAAAGCGCTATATAAATGTAATGAATTATTATTATTGTAGTTTGTTACAACAACAAATACAATGAAATATTGTTGCAATATTAACACAACAATGGATTGGAAACAAACTTGCTGTTTTTTGCTGTCCTCAGGCCGTTCCTCCTCCTCCCACCGCTGATGGAGTGGATGCGTGTGGCCATCGTTCATGCGGAGCATCGCCGCAGCTTATTGGTGGACAGCGATGATGTACGACAGACGGCGCGGCTGCTCCTGCCCGGACTGGACTGTGAGCCCAGACTGCTGAAGTAAGACATACACATCATACAACATATACTGACTGACAACCAGCACACATTCATACCTGCTGGACAATAAACGAGTGAAGAACATGAGCCACATCTAGAAAGCAGAAAACCAGAGAGAAATACAAGATGGACGCTTTTGACAACCATCAAAAAGTCCCTAGAAGAAGATCCACACCGAAAAACACTCTGAACACCTTAGCAACCACACAGCAACACCTTAGCAACCATTCTAAATACCTTAGCTACCGATAGGTGTTGTGTTCTGACTGTTCTTTTGCAACTCGTGAGAAACTACATCGTAACACCCTACTATCCATTCAGAACACCTTAACAACTGCACCGCAAACACATACTGTACCAATGCCCTAGCAACCAATCAGAGCACTGTAGCAGCCAAAAAACAATGCCCTATCAACCTGTCAGAACACCTTAGAAACTGCATAGCAACAACCAAACAACCACTCAGAATCAAATGTGAAGTGATCAGTCAGAAGGTATAGAAATGCTCTAGCAACCACTCAGAACACCTTGGCAACACATAGAACAGATGGGCAACTGCATAACAACGCCCTAGCAACCAGTACTCCTTACAACAACTTAGCAACTGCCTAAAAATGTCTTAGCAAACCAATCAGAACACCTTAACAACCACTTACAGCAGCTTAGCAACTGCATAACAACATCCTAGCAACCAGAACACCTTAGCAACCACTTACAGCAGCTTAGCAACTGCATAACAACATCCTAGCAACCAGAACACCTTAGCAACCACTTACAGCAGCTTAGCAACTGCATAACAACATCCTAGCAACCAGAACTCCTTAGCAACACCTTACAATAGCTTAGCAACTGCATAACAATGTCCTAGCAAACCAATCAGAACACCTTAACAACCACTTACAGCAGCTTAGCAACTGCATAACAACATCCTAGCAACCAGAACTCCTTAGCAACACCTTACAATAGCTTAGCAACTGCATAACAATGTCCTAGCAAACCAATCAGAACACCTTAACAACCACTTACAGCAGCTTAGCAACTGCATAACAATGCTCTAGCAACCAGAACACCTTAACAACCACTTAGAACAGCCTGGCACCTGCATAACAATGTCCTAGCAACCAATCAGAACATATAGCCACATACAACACCTTTTACATAGCAACATTATCTTAGAAAAATGTACAAATAATAATAAATGAACAATTTCAGAAGCATAGAATGAGTGAAAACCTTTTTAAAATACATTAAAAAAATCGTCACAGAGTAATTTGCACTGAATCATGCAACAGGGAAAAGGGACATCACATTTCATCCCGACTTTACGGTGTTTTGTCAAGTTCTCCAGTTGTGGGAACGTTGTTTTCAGAGTATATTTGAATGTTTCTATCACAACTTTGTAAGACTAATTAACTACATTTTTTAAAATGTCAACAGACATTTAAACAGCACTTAAAATGTGTCAGAGCTGAAGCTATCAGACATGATCTCATGCTCCTTCTTATATGTGACTTTCCATCAAACCGCATTAAAACATTGGCAAAGACCTTCAGCAAAGCCTCAGATTTTTACTGATCCTCAAGAGCCCAGCCTTATACTTAATGATTTGAAAACACTTCAGGAAAATACATCACTCCACCCATGAAAGCACATACTGAACACCACCACCTTTTCGTTCATGTGTGTTTTCTAACTTCTCTCTTCTTCTGTTTTATGTAGGCCTGAGTGCTGCTTTAGCTCCTTCAGGCGGCTGGATGCCAAAGCCGCCACAGATAAGTTCCAGCTGGACCTGGGTTTCCGCATGCTGAACTGTGGCCGCACCGACCTGATCGGCCAGGCCATCGAGCTGCTGGGGCCAGATGGTGTCAACAGCATGGATGACCAGGTACCGTGAGCTCAGAACCGCAAACCAGATGTTAACAGCACCTGTCAGCACCCAAGACCAAACTATACATCACTCCGTGACACTGATATCATATTTTGGATGCATCTGTGTAGGGTATGACTCCGCTAATGTATGCCTGCTCAGCTGGAGATGAAGCTTTAGTCCAGATGCTGATTGATGCTGGAGCCAATCTGGATGTAGCGGTATGGACCACCAGTTACTTTCTTAGTCCGGCAATATTTTTGGATGTTAAGGCCTGTTTAAACCAAGTTCAGTGCGATTAAATGTTGATCTACAATCAATCGATCAATAAAAATGTAAATAAAACTGAATTTTCATCATTCTTGAAAAAAACTTGCATAAGTTATATAGTGTTACTGTTATTTTAAATTAGATTTTTTTATTTTAATTTTTTAGTTATAGACATTTTTTTTGTCTACATTGTTTAAATATATCTATTCGGCTTTTTTTATTATTTTCTTGTATTTTCAACAAAAAAAAAAAATGTTGCCTTAGCATCAAGCTGAAATAAAAATGTTAAAAGTTGTTTTATTTTATTTTTCAGCTGATGTTTATTTGATTTCAAACAACACATATGTTTTTATGGTTTTAGTTTTAGTTAACTATAATAAAACTGCTGTGATGCGTACAGTTTTTCAATGCAGTCTTCAAAGGATGCAGCCACTGAATTGGGATGCAGTGCATGTCAGATTGTTTCAATACAATATATAAAAACATTATTTCATGTTGTGAATCTTTTTTGTGACGTTTATTCAGCACTACAGCCTGTTTGAAAGCTGATGGTCTTTTGTGTTCAGGTACCTGTTTGCTCCCCCAAACACCCTTCAGTCCATCCAGACAGCCGCCACTGGGTGGCGCTCACATTCGCTGTGTTACATGGACATATATCAGTAGTGCAGGTAACAAGCTGCTTGTTTTATTGTGTGAATTTTCATACTGCAACTATTCTACAAGTGAACTTATAGGTATACTGTTATAAGTTTTTGTTGTTACTCTCCTAACCTACATGTATGCCTGTATCTTCAGCTTCTGTTAGACGCTGGGGCGAATGTGGAAGGAGCAGCCGTCCGTAACGGACAGGAGAGCAATGTTGAGACGCCTCTCCAGCTGGCATCTGCAGCAGGTGTGTGTAGCACAACTCCCTCATGCCAGCCTCTCCCAACCTCCACCAGCTCAGATTTACAGCCTGCCAGGGAAGGCTGGTCACTCCCATCCCAAACAGGAATCCCTAAAAATATGGCCCTGTGTTGGCAGACCAAAGCCAAACTGTACAGGCCACAAACTGTATGAGAGTTGACGGAATTGGGTCAGGAAGACTTGTTTTGCCACATGCATTTGGTTTTAAACCTTTTAGGTGTGGGGATGTTCAACATGAAGTTCTGCAACATTTAAAGGAGCCAAATAATTTTTATTGAACCTTTACCACTGTCTAACCAACAGTATTTAAACTACTACCCTATCTGTCATAATTTTGCTGCGTTCCATTCTGAAAAGCTCATCCCCATGCCCTAATCCCTTTGAACCCTCCAGAGTGAGAGCTTCGAAGAGTTGAAGGGTGTAGCGCAGTGGTTCCCAATCCTGGTCCTGGAGAACCCCCAACACGGCAAGGTTTTGGTGTTTCCTTTATCTGACACACATTTGAGGTCTTGGAGTCTCTACTTATGAGCTGACAAGTTCAGTCAGGTGTGTTTTATTAGGGAGATATCGAAAATGTGCAGTGTTAAGGGTACTTCTGGACCAGGATTGGGAACCACTGTGTGGGGGAACAAGTAAACTGTTCCTTGGAACTGTTCCCTCTGGCGGAGCCAAATAAAGAGATGTCGTCATCACACAATTAAACATGCACAAAGAATCAAAGGAGCAACGTGTCTATCAGTTGTACCCTTCAAACTCCTTTCTGAAGAGCCTTTTGAAGTGGCCAGTTTTGAGAACTTAATTTGGAACGACCCTTCACTATGGTGGCCATGATTGTCCTCACTCCGAAGTGCCCTTCGGCCATATTGAATTTAATGTGGAGGAAAACAAGGCCGTGAGGTATAGGTTTATAGTCATTAAAATAACAAACACTATGTAACGGTCCTAGATCATGTAATTTATGAAAAACTGTTTTATGGAGCTTTGTCTAATGAAAGTTTTTTTTTTCATAATGTTTCAGCTGAAAAATTGGTATGTTGTTTAACAATAGTACAGTCCACTGAATGCACTGTACTTCTATCCCTCAAAGCCTCATTTCATTCCTGTCAGAAACTAAATATGGCGTCACCCTTAAGTCTATACCTCACCGTGACTGGAAGGGCCAAGCTTCTGAACTTCAACAGGCATTTATTATTGTAAATGTGGGTGTTAATATTTCATGTTACTGGTGTCAGAAATCTAAAGAATGTAGAGTCAATTTTGGATAAAGAGGATGCTGTGAGTTCTAAACTTTACAGTATGTTTTCATAGTACATCCAGCTCTTTTTATCTTGAAAGATCAAGGCAAAATTGATCCCTCAAGACACGACCCTTCTACGATCATTACAGTAATGATCATGAATGGCGTTCTCTTTTATTGTGGTTCTCTTGCATTTATTCTCCATTTATTCTGCAGATCTCTGCAATCTCACCATCTGTTTCCCCTTTTCTCCTGTACTCCTTGCTTTCGCAATATCGCAGGAAATTACGAGCTGGTTAGTTTACTGCTGGCGCGTGGTGCCGACCCCCTGCTGAGGTCCCAGGACAGTAACACGCTGACATCATCGCTCTATGAGGACATGAACTGCTTCAGTCATGCTGCCGCCCATGGCCATAGGTAATACCTAATACCTCCCATCATCCCCAGCAGCCTGGAACAAATCACACTAACACACACTTACCCCCCACAACTCTGAACACGATCCCTTATGACAATTCATACTCAACTGTATTACCACATCAGCTATCTAACTTTCTTTCTATTCATCTAGCTTTGTGTCGATTTGTCTAACTTTGTACAATCATTATCTATCCTACCAGCATCTATCTATCTATCTATCTATCTATCATGTCCAGTCATTCATTATGTATCGTGCTAGCTATCTTGTCCTACCAATCATCCATCCATTCATCTCTCTTTTTGTCCATTATCTATTCAGCCATCTATCCAACTAATAATTCATCTACACATCCATCTAGCTTTCTATTTTGTCTAGTAATGCATTATCTATCCAGCCAGCTATCTGTCTATCAATCCAATTGATATATTTTTATTTTCATCCATCCATCTACAGTAGCATTCTGTCAAGCTGTCCATCTTTCCAGCCAGCTATCTACCTAAGCATCAAACTCTTTCAAATCACCCGTTTCTACCCATTCACCCATCTTCCAATCTATGCAACGGTCTATCTACCCATCTACTATGCATCTACCGATCTACTCATTTATCAGCCATCTATCCTTCTGTTTATCCATATGTCCAATCATTCATTATGCATCCACCCATCTAGTTTTGTATTGATCCATCTATCCACCTACTCATCCATCTATCACTGAACTAAAGCATAAAATGTTCTCCAGGAATGTTTTGAGGAAGCTGCTCTCTCAGCCTCAGAAGGTGAGGGAAGATGTGCTCTCGCTGGAGGAGATCCTGGCAGAGGGTGTGGAGGCCGAGACGCGGGCGTCCGGCCGGAACGGACATTCTCTACCCCCTCCTCCATCCCCAAACCTCAGCCTGGTGTCAGAAGATGCCCTGCCTAAACTGTGTAAGGCCCGTATGAAAGCTCTGCAGGAGGCATCCTTCTACAGCGCAGAGCACAGCTACCTGGATGTCACCATGGAGCTCAGATCATTGGGTAGGTTAGATGCACAACTAATCACAAAGTTGTAAATAATTTACAGAGAACATACAGAGCAAAGATGATAAAATAACACTTTAATTAAGTCATTATCAACTATGAATCTTCCTTCTTTGATACGGTTATGAAAAGCTGAGCTATCTAAAAAGCATTTGATTATTTGTAAGTAATTGTCCACATATTGTCCGATTCTGAAGGAGTGCCATGGAAACTCCATGTATGGTTGGAGTCACTACGCAGCGCTCAGCAAAAGTCCAGAGCTGGAGTCATGCTCTCCCTTCTGCGAGACTTCACCTCCATCAAAGAGGAGGACTACTGTGAGGAACTAGTCTGCGTCGGCCTTCCTCTGATGTTTAACATTCTGAAAAATAGCAAGGTACTTAAAAAAGCCTGGAGGTTTGTTCATAAAAAGCCTGTGTATCAACAAAAATTTAAAAAACAAAAAAACAAATACATTTATAATTTATAGGAATTTTTGTCATTGTGTCAATGGTTGGTAAGCAATTAAAAATTGAACTTGAATTAAAACATGACAGATGATTATAGTTTTACATTTCAGATTTCTGAACAGGATCTGAAAAGGACATTATGTTCTAAAATATTTTTATTCTGCTTTTGAGCCAAAAATTCAGACTTGATGTGACAAGAGCTGTAAATAACTCTTAGGGTGTGTTCACACTTGTAGTTTGGTTCATTTGGTCCGGACCAAAAAGGAAAATGATACATTTGGTCCTGGTCCGCTAAGCGTTCACATTGGCATTTTTGACAGCGAACCTAAAGACACCGAACCTAAAGGCATAGTGATATGTTCACAACCTGATTGGTCGGCTTGAATGACGTATATATCCTGACGGAACTCACCGAACACCCCAAACAAAAGGTGCGTTAGACTTAAAGCGGCGCTGCGGGTGTATGATATCAAAGCACCCATTAACCGAACGGTCTGCTCAGCTCCGCTTTAAGTTGAACACACCTAATGTCGTCTGCTGGGCTAAGTGCGCTCATTCTTGCATGTACATGTCATTTTATTTTCACCACCTGCAAACTCACAAGGAGCTCATAAAATTCACTTTACCTCATCATTGCTCCACGTTTTCCCTCCGATCATTTTGTTTTGGTTACACCGCGTTGTCAAATCATGTCGCATAGTGTCGCATCTTGTCATTACTTACTGTTTTTGGTTTGTTTAGAAGTATTTGGTCCGTGTTGCATTCATATATCATTCGAACCGCACCAGTTTGTTTGGAAGCGGACCGAGACCCATCTTTTTAGCGGTCTCGGTTGTTGTAGCGGTCTTGTTTGGTGCGCACCAGGGTTCGGATGGCAGCATTCACACTTACTCAAACGAACCGCACTAACAGAGCAGTCGCACCAGGGTTCGTTTTAATCTAACCAAGTGTGAACGTACCCTTAGTCTCTAGTTTAAACTACCTTACGACTAATTCTTTCTCGTTTTCTCTACAGAGCGAGGCAATAATCCACCAGCTGGGCGTCATTTTTAGTCACTGTTACGGTCTTGCTCCACTTCCTCCTATCCAAGAAAAGAAAGCAGCTCTCTCCGCTCAACTCGGTAATTCACTCCATCTTAGTACAGTTGCGTTTATGAATTAGCAACATTGACTGAATCCACTAGTTAAATAAATTACCCAGCATTGATTTAAAAAACAAAAAGTTTGTCAATGATACTGGTAATTGTTTTCAATTACTTGGTTGTGCACTATGGAAGCCCGTTTCTTTTATCCGACTTTTATACTCTCAATTGTGAGCTTATATCTCACAATTCTTAGAAAAAAGTCAGAATTGTGAAATATAAACTCACAATTTTGACTTTTTTTCTCAAAATGCATGTTCATATCTTGCAATTGCAAGTTTATATCTCACAATTCTGAGAACAAAAAATCTGAATTGTGAGATGCAAACTTGCAATTGTGAGAAAAAGTCAGAATTGTGACCTAAAAAGCAGCAATTTTTATTCAGTGGTGGAAATGGGCTTCCATAGTGGACATTATAGTTACAGTTTATTTATTAATTTCTGTCAATAAATGATTACTCTGGAAAAATCTTGAGCAAGTCTGATGTCTCAGATTGCTCTTTCCGCAGACCCTCACTTCCTGAACAACCCAGAGATGTCTGACGTGACGTTCCTAGTGGAGGGCAAACCGTTCTACGCTCATGGGGTTCTGCTGCTTACGGCATCCGACAGGTGAGTCTGTTACCTTACTTACATAATAAAAAAATCTGTTATCTCGTAACACAGTGTCTTAAGTAGATGATATTTTGAAACATACCTGAACCGTTAAGAATAAAGCATGTTGTCTGCTCTGAGATCAGGTTCAAAAGTCTGCTGGCGCTGAACGGGACAGACAGCACTCAACCACACAAGGAAATCGAGATCAGCAACGTCAAGTACAACACCTTCCAGGTAAGATCAGATGAATCCTCGTTCAGCGGGCTGTGACACAAGATGTTACCAGGGGTTGATCGCTGTCTCATTGTGTTTATCTAGATGATGATGTCCTACCTGTACTGCGGGGGGACGGAGTCTCTGAAGATGGGTGTTCCAGATTTACTGGAGGTAAGACTAACAAGATACAGGCCAACCCCGCTTAATACTCAAAAACAGAGAGGTAGATCTTGGCAGTTCATCCAGTCACTCAATGCCAGCTGTTCATGCACTGGAGTTTACCTGCAGTAATTCAAGATGAAACTTTATCTTCTCAGATTCATTGAGACTCTTCTTGGCCAGTAAACTATTTTTGTAGATTGAAGCAGGTAATAAAACAGAAGAAATCACTCCTTTGTTTGCTTTCTCTAGTTACTGTCAGCAGCCAGTTTGTTCCAGTTGGGGGCGCTACAGCGGCACTGTGAAATTATCTGTGCTCAGAACATTGACCTCGACAATGCTGTGAACATCTACCACACTGCTAAGGTAAAAATATACAAGTATGTAATATAAGACATATTTTTAAAACTGCATTTTTATATTGTAAAATATAACATGCCATAAAAAATAATCGTAAAGAATAATGTAAAATAAGGTAATTTATCGGGTCAGTTTTTACATTATTAAGTAAAAAGTAAAAAAGCATTTTGTTGGTATTAAATACTGTAATCTACCATGTTTGTTTTTATTGTACCATGGTAAATGACAAAGAATACCAAAGTAAAACCATTTTACATGTCAAAAAACATCAAAATATGGTTCAGATTCAAAGATAAAATGGTATTACCATGGAACATGGTACATTGTTACTATTTACACTAACAAAACGTTTTACAAGAGATAAATCATTATTACCACAGGCCTGCAGGTTTTATGAAGGTAAATTTAAGATTAAAAGGAATAAATTGAATGCAACAATACGTCAATATTTTTTCTAAATGGAACTGCGTTTCATTAGCAGCACTTCAAAGTTTGAAAATTACAACACATCTGTTACTTTATTCAGTATAAATAGCTCCTAACTACTAGAATATTTAAATAAGTTTACTGTAGTTATAATCACGCAGCAAATAAAGTACTCAGTATTTTTGTCTCGTTTCCTAGTACAAATATCTAAAGATTCATAAATCAAGACATTTACTTCAGAAGCAAAATTGCGTAAGATTCATTTTGTGAGAAACTGATCAAAACACTGGCACTGCATTATAAATACAAAAATTAAAATAAAATTCCACATTTACAAAAAGTTACAGTCACAAATAACCACGTACGTAATACAAATTCAACAAAACAACCTACTTAAGAACCAACTTTTAGCTTTTAAACTAAAACTAACCATATTCGAAATACCTTTAATGTCCAGAGGTAAATTATTCCACAAAAGTGCCCCAGAATATCTAAAAGACCTACGACCATACATAGTTTAAAACAACATAATGTAATATCCATGAGACTTAGCCTAGTTTTATAACAATGTTGCTCATTTACCCTAGGAAAAAATACATTAAAATATGAAGGAGCTCTGTTATTGATAATCTTATGTACCATTTTTAATTTAATATGTTCTAGTCTGCTTTCTATAGGTAACCAATCAAGACACTTAAAATGGGAAACCTCCACATGTGTAAAACGACTAAACCCTGAAACTAACCTTATCAATTTATTCTGAGATTTTTGTAACTTATCCAACCAACCACAAGACAAATCAGACATCCAAGAAATACATGCATATTCGAAATGACATGACACTAAACATGATGCAAGTAATTTTATATTCTGTTTATCAAGAAAACATGTCTGGCAAGAAATTTTGTCCTAGCATTAACCTTACCCAGAACTTTCATAGCCATACTTACACCACTTAAATCATTGTCAAGGACACATCCAAGATAATTAACAGAAGTTCTATTTGATATTAAACAATCCCCCACCTTAACAGACATCTTAGAAACCTTATTCAAATTATTTTTAGACCCAAACAATATGGATTCCGTTTTACCTAAATGCAACATTTGTTTTCAGAGAGCCAGTCTCTTACCTTACAAAGCTCCTTACCTAAATGCACTTGTATCCTACCAACATCCTTATCTGAAATTAATAAAGCAGAATCATCAGCATATAAAAACAAATTACAATCACAAACTGCTTGCATGTCATTAATATATAAAAGAAACAAAAGAGGGCCTAAAACACTTCCCTGAGGGACTCCATTTTCAACAAACGTTTCCTCAGAAAGAACCCCATCAATTTCTACTCTCTGAACTCTCCCAGTTAAATAAGAATTCAACCAGGCTATCACTTTACTTGGAAAAACCCATGACACTTAACTTGTCTAAAAGTATTGAATGATTTACAGTGTCAAACGCTTTCTGGAGGTCTAAAACATTCTGTTATGTTTACTTTCAATAAAAAAATCAAATAAAGCATAAACACTTCATTTTGTTCAATTTCTCAAAATACAAGACTTCATATTGTCAAGTTTGTATCTCAAGAAAATGTCGTTTAGATGTTTGCACTCTGCTCCAATTTAAGACCTTTTTGTGGAAGAGCAAATTAAGACTTTTAGGACTCACAAAAAAAAAAAAAACCTGTACCAAAGTGTCTCTCCAGTAACTGAGTGCATAATTAGTGTTTTTGTGTTTTTGTCCAGACTCATGGTGCAGTGGAGCTCAGTAAGTACTGTGAAGGTTACTTCCTGCAGAACATGGCGGGTCTGTTGGAGAGGGAAGCCTTCCGGATGCTAATCCTGGGGTCCGGGACACGGAGCGGGTCTGGAAAAGACTCTCTTCTGGAAGAGCTGGAAGCAACGTTAGCGCGCAGACTACGCTCACTGCTAGTGACTTCTCGTGTGTGAAAGGAAAAGAGGGAAAATATAGAAGGAAGTACAAAATAAAGGACATGAATGTGTGGATGTTCAGACAAAAATTAAAGACTGAGGAACCATGAAAAGGAAATGCTGTTGAAAAAAAAATGATGGACTGACTGAAGTGGAGCTTTGTGGACAGTTTCATGAATTCTACAAATAATCATTTATTGGACACAAGCTTTGGGAGCTTGTGAAAAATGACATAAAATGCTGCAGCATTTGTGTGGCTAAAGCTCTCCGAACTAAAGTATGTTAAGATTGTGTTAAATTGCGGACAACAGTTTCCCCACACTTAAACATGCCATTTTGTTCTACTAAAGTGGGAAGCTAGAGCATATCTTTTTTTTTTAATACATAATTGTTTTATTTTAAGCTATTATAGATGAATCTTGATGAATGATGAATATTATAGATGAATGGAGAAAGACAAGGACATTTTCTATTTAAAAATGTGAGATTATTTAAGTTGCTATTTTATCTTGCTTCATGCCAAGCAAATAAAGTTATATAACAAACAATGTGTCTGAAATTATATCCAAACAACCACAGAAGACCAATCACAAATAAATATGCAATTATTACAATGAGGTCATTGCAGATGGTGACATTCTACCAATGTCCGTCAATGTCTTTTTATTTGAATATATTTTAGAATGTAATTTATTGCTGCGATCAAAGTTGAATTTTCAGCATCATTACTCCAGTCTTCAGTGTCACATGATCCTTCAGAAATCATTCTAATATGCTGATTTGCTGTTCAAGAAATAATAATAATTATTATTATTATTATCAATATTTAAAACAGTTGAGTAAATTTTTTTCAGGATACTTTGATGAATAGGAAGATCCAGAAGATCCAATTTATCTGAA